TCCTCTCGCGTGTCCTCTCGTGAAGCAACCCCGACTTTTTCCTCCGCGCGAGAGGTACGGCGGGCCGGAACTTTGGTTCTACAGTCGAAGCCGATGGTCAGGATGAGCGACTTCCCAAGGCCCAAGGGTACCCTTTGTATCCTTGCCTCCTCGGTCCGTCCTTGACCCCTCTCGACGGCCTCCTTATCGCGAATCCTTGCCATCAGTTTTGACCGCACCCCAGCCTGCGGGGCGCGGGCAGCCAGTGCGGAGGGCGCATGCACGGCTCTGGTGTCGTCGCCATGATCGGGCGGTGAGGAATATGCACATGCGCTGATTCTGGCCATCCCTATCTTGGGCCCAGGATCGGTGCACATGCCTCCTTGGCCGAGCCAGGATGGCTTATGCAACCGTCCTGGGCCGACGAAGGGCCAGTCCAGGGTGGGTGTACAGGCGTATTTGTCTTTCCTTCACTATGAGGGACGAGCACAAGCACGAACGTGCTCGTCTTATCGGAGCTCGCAACGATTGAGTCATTGGCGCCCATGTGGTCGAACATCGGCATCACCCGGGCATTTGTGTTCATTCGCACATGCAGTGTCCATTATCTAGTTTTCAGAGAGGTTGCTGTTGTGAGCTGCTCCAGTATGCCGGGCCTCTTTATGGAAAGTTAGCAGCTTGAGCCTCACGCAACAGGACATACACAGATCGTTGGTTACCGAATGAGGCGCCCAGCCAGTGGGCGCATGGGGCTGGCAGCTATTCGGCAAGCTACCATCCACACCTACACCTATGCACAGCCACTCGAATCTGGGGATGTTGGCACATGGGGTGTCGTCGTCGGCGGCGGCAGCGGCCTTGCTGCTTGTGTCCTCGTCATCCTCACCCTCCAGTCCTCTTCCGCTTCATCCTCCTCGTCCTTTGTCTCTGTCCTTGTCTCTGTCTCTGTCCCTGTCTCTGTCTCTCTCTATCTCTGTCTCTGTCCGTCTGTCTGTCTGCCTGTCTTTCTCCTCCTTCTGCCCCTCCTCCTCCTCCTCCTCCTCCCATCCTCCTCCTCCTCCTCCTCCTCCTCCTTCTCCACCTCCTCCTCCTCCTCCTCCACCTCCTCCTCCTCCTCCTCCTCCACCTCCTCCTCCCTCCTCCGTCCTCTCCCCCTTCCGTGCTTCGAGCTGCGGGCGGCCCTGCTGCTGCATGCTGGCGCCCCGCCCCCCCTCCTTCGCTCCCCTCCCCCGCCCATTTCTCGCCGGGCCGAGTCGCGCGCGGCGCAGCTTGCCTGACAATATGGCACACTCCCCCTTCCTCTTTCGCCTCTTCCCCCCCCCTCCCCCGCTCTGCCCTATCGGGTGCGCCCGTGTGGCCAAACGTCTGGGTACTGTCTGGCCACGCTATTAGAAGCCCTTCGGGGAACGCGTGGGGGAGGAGGAGGAAGATCGCCGCGCCCTCTCCCTCGCCCCTCCCCCCTCTCCTCCCTCGCTCGCCCCCTTGACGCGTCCGCGGATACAGATCAAATCAGCGCCACGGGTAGGGATGGGGCTGGATGGGCAGGATGTCAGATATGGCGTGGGCGCGCCTAGCTTGCCCTCCCCCTCGCCCCCCGCGCTCCTTCCCTCCTCGTCCCTTCCTCTTCTGAGGGAGTACAAGGGTACCGATACCGCTGCTCCACGGCCCTCTCCAGAGGTGCGCTCTGCCCAGGATCTAGTGGCCCTCGGCCCATCCATCCCGCCACCGTGCCTGGGTTGTAGGCCAGAGGCTTCCTGGATGCCTCTGAGGATCCCTTGGGAGCCCTCTCGGATGTCTTGGAAGTGGTTTCGGGGGTGTCTTGGGGCGTCTTGGGGGCCCCTTGGGGTCTGATTTGGGTTTCTTGGGGGCCTCTTACGGCCTCCTGGGCGCACCTGGGGGGCCTTTGGGGCCGCCTGTGGGTTTCCGGGGGCCGAGTGCTCGAAATGCCCCTTCGGGGTCCCCGTCTGGGCCCCCTCTTGGAGCCGTCTTGGGGGAGCTAGGTCTGTCTCGGGGACCGCTTGGGCTGTCTTACAGTCCTTTTGGGCAGTTGCGAGGCCCTCTTGGAGGCCTTTTGGGCCGTCTTGGGGCGGTCTTGAACACCTCTTAGGCTGTGGTGAGCGAACATCGTGCATCGTTGGTCGCGTGCACGAGACGGCGGGGCGGGCGCCCCCACCCCAGCCCCATGGTTGGACGAACGGGAGGGCATGCTTCGCGACGCGCAGCGGCGCGGGGCTACGCGAGCCCAAGCGGTGGGCGCGAGGCGTCGCGCAGTCCGCCCTGCTTGCATGAGCGAGCGCGCGAGGGGGCGTGTGCGCCGTCCAGGGTTGGGAGGGGCGTTGCGCGCGCTCGATTGGGCGGATGTCCCGCCGCGCTCGGCGAGGGGCACTTGCGTTTCGGCTTTTACCCGCCCACCGTGGCCGTGCGCGCGGGCGCCATCGCGCGATTGTCCATGCGTTGCGCAAGTGTGAGACGTGTGTCGCTCCGTGTGAGACAGGCTGCACGTGTGAAACGTGCGTCTGCT